TTGTCATGTTATTGTCCTTTTGTTGACTCTTTATTTTCTGTCCTCTCCTTTTAGTTTCTTGCCTTGGCTATTTGATTTGCTCTGTTGGGCCTCCTGGTGTTGTGATCTTCATTGTCTTTTTCTAGGATATTGTTTAAAATTGTTTCTAGTGCTGGTTTAGTACTCATGAAGTTTCTCAAGTGATCTTTGTCATGGAAGTATCTTATTTCTCTGTCCATTTTGAAAGAGAGTTTTGCAGGGTACATTAGTCTTGGTTGTATGTTGTTTTCTTTTAGGACTTGAAATACCTCACTCCACGCTATCCTTGACCTGAGGGTTTGTGCTGTGATTTCCTTTGTATGTGATTTGTTTTTTGTTTTTTTTTTCTCTTAGTGCTTGTAGTATTTTGTTCTTCTGTTGGGTTTCTGGGATCTTGATTATTATATGTCTAGGTGTAGGTTTTTTTTTAATCGTGGCTAGCTGGAGTCCTATACATCTCACTTATCTGTATGTCTAATTCTTCCCCTCTGTTTGGGAAGTTTTCTGTCATTAATTCTTTGAACAGCTTTTTTAAGTCATCTGCATTTTCTCCTGTTACTTCATGGATTCCTATCAGTATTATGTTATTCTTTGCATCATCTAGGAATTGTTGGATTGATTTCTCATCCTCCCTGTTTTTAAGAGATCTTTCTTTTCATGGTCACTGTCTGCTATCCTATTTTCTATATCTGAGATTCTATCTTTGCAATCTTTTATTCTGTTGTGTACACTTTCAATAGAGTTTTTAATCTCCTGGATATCTGAATCTGTTTGATTCCATTTCTTTCCTATGTTGGGTGTTTATTGTTTCCATTTCTTTTGTATTCTGGGCCTTCATGGTTTCTGTTATGTTCCTAAGCTCATCTACTTTTTTGTCAGTTTCTGTTCTGGAGTCTCAAATTATGTCTTTCATTTTGCTCACCATCTCTATGGTTATCTGGGAAATAATTTCTGTTTTGAATTTTTCTAGAGCTTGATTGATCACTTTTTTTACTTCCTGTGCTGTGAGTTCTGAGTGCTCTGGAGGTTCACTATCTGATTTTTCATCCTCCTTTGACCTACTGTTTGCCATTGGTGGACTGGAAGTCTGTCTTTGTGGCTTGCTTAAGTGTTTTCTCATCTTTATTTTTGCTGTTGGGTTGCCCTTGATTCAATCTATGGGTCATTAAATCTTCCTGATATCGTTGCGTCTCAGCCTTTGCTTTTCTAATGACTTATAGACATTCTCATTTTCATAATTGAGAAAACAACTCCTCAAATCAATCCCTATCCATTATCCCTATTGATACAATCAGGAACCTAATAGGATCAATCACCACCCTTTATAGCCCACCATGCCTCTGCAGACTGCATCCAAGGACTGGCTCAATCAGGGGATCTAATGGGGGGGGCGCAGCACGATAGTGCTCAGCAGCGTCTGTGCAGCTACTCTCCTGGCACTGTGTCAGAGCCAATCAGTGGCACCTGCTGGAAATGGCATGGCTCCAGAGGAGGCCCGTAGATCAGGCAGCCACGCAGCAGAGAGGGCTCTGAATCCAAGCCAGGGCGATGATGCAAAACCCACCTGCCTTGTGCTGTGCTGAGGCCAATCAGTGGCACCCGCTGGAAAATGCATGGCTCCAGAGGAGGCCCACAGATTGGGCTGGGCCGCACAGCAGAGAAGGCTCTGAGGCCAAGCCGGGGCGATGACGCCCATAAATTCACTTTTAAGTTTGTCTTTCATATACAAACTCAATTTATTTAAAAATCAATTTACCATTAAAATTATCTACATCCTAATAATTCTGGATGCCGTACTTCAAATTAGCTTCTAAACTATCCAGAAGCTTCACAACTCTAACTTTTTTTTTTTTGGTTTTTTGAGACAGGGTCTCACTATGTAGTTGAGACTGACCTGGAACTCACTATGTAGCTCATGCTGGTCTCAAACTCCCAACAATCCTCTTGCCTCAGCCTCCCGAGTGCTGGGATTATAGGTGTGAGCCACCACGCCCAGCCACAACTCTAACTTTTAAGGCAACACTCAAAATATCCTAGCAAAATTCAATTGCATTTTTGTAACTTTTTAAAGTGCCACATAACTCTCTCATTAGAAAATAGGTGCTCTGGAATATAGTAAACATATTAAGTGAGTGAATGTTAAAAACTTATCACTTCAAAAAGAATGAAAAACAAAAAAATTGAATAGAGTGAATAAAATATTACTTAAATAATGTACTATAAACCTTCCTTAGTTAAAACAAAAAATTCTTTAGAATACAGACTTTTAAATTTTGTGGAGCATTACTTCATATACCTTTATCTAAAATGGTTTTCCTTTCTAAAATAGTTTGATGAGACCTAAATGCATTAGCCATTGATAGGTAAAAAATATTTGTGTATTTGGATTAATTTATGCCTATCACACACTCACAACATTTACTGTTTGACTTCACTAAGCTGTGCTGTGAAGAGAAAAAGATGCCATTTTGACTTGGTAAAATTAATAGAGAGGTATAAGCTTTACAGTTCTCCTCTGCTGAGTTCACAGTGTCCTTGCATTTCAACAACTTTTCCCCATAGTGGGTTTTATGTGGTAATAATTTATTCAGAACATTTGAAATGCTATTTCTTTTAAAAACCAGGTCATTGGAGAACACTGAAATCAGAGGACACATTAAAACAAATTTAATGAAACTTTCAACAAATGCAACTGGCAGGACACAAGGCTTTGCAGCAGGAATAGTCCGTCTAAGCTGCTTATTAAGACAATCTCCTGCTGAGCATTTTACCTCTTATGTTGCTTTCTGTGTCCCCTACTATCTTGTTTTTGTTAGGCACTTTTAACATACTCTGTACTGCCCGACAAAAAGGGGCAATAGAAACAAGAAAAATACTTTGAAAAAATAATAAAAGGCAGAGTAACTGCTTTTTGTTTAAATAACATCTGGTACCTTCATCTAAGGCTTTCAGTTACTTCTGCAGGCAAGTACAAGGCTACATTGCTCTGCACCCAGTGGTGCTCAGTACTGAGCCATGATGGTTGCCATATACAGGAAGTATCTTTCTGGACCTATCTTTCCCTTACATGGGAATTGTGATTTGACCTAAAGAAAACTGCACTTTGTGAAACACTCTGTAAAACATTTATTGTATATCAGAAAAAAAATGTCTTGCACCCAAATCAAGAATGACCCCTTTGGATAGATTTTCTTTTATGCTAGCCAATTAATGTAAGCATATTCACCAGAGAACTAGTATATGGCTGTGGTCCAAAGGCCTCTTTTATCCTCCCGACTAGCTTCATACTGGGCTATCACCACTGCAACGACCTGACTGCAGCACACCACAGCACTCCATTGCAGTGCCTTCACCTCCCATCTCTGCTGCCCTTAGATGACCTAAAGGTTATTAATCTAGTGCTTTTGAATGGTTGTTGTTTCACGTAGCAGACTATAATCTACCCTTCTAAAACACACAGGGATGAAGTTGAGAGGATAGAGTGCTCTATACTTTCAAGAATGTTGAACAGACATGTTTTTTAATATGTCCCACAGACTTTGGATTTATCTCCTGTAGACTGGGTATGCTTAGTTACTAAAATAAGCCTGGTATCACTTCTGAAAGCACAGGACTATCTTTGAAGAAATGCCAGAGAATAGGGCCAGGGATGTAGCTTAGTGGTGCCACTGCCTGCCTCGAAAGCAGAAGGACTGGAGTTCTATCCCTGGTACCGAAAAAAAAAAGTATAAGTTTATTTATGGGCCAGGGATTTAGCTCAGTGGTTCCGCCACCTGCCTTGCAGCACAAGGACCCAAGTTTGATCCCCAGTACCAAAAAATAAAAATAAAAAAATTGCTGGATCTACCTATTAGCTATTCAACAAAAATACATATTTTAGGTACTGTGAGTTAGAGAAGTGCTATTCTTATGAATATTTATAATTTTATTAGCAATAACAGCTAATATTTATGGAACTATGTTATACATGGGTTATCTCTTGTAATCCTTACAAAACTCTATAAATTATTATCCCAATTTGTTAAATGGGAATTTAAGGGTAACAAAAGTTAAGCAAATTTCCCATGGCTGTGGATATTCTGTTATATAAAAACAATATGTAAGGTTTTTCATGATAAGTATCATGAGCTTCTGATAGAAAAGTTGTATTGAAGTTGAGTCTGGATTTATAAACTCAACTACTCTGAAGGCCATGGAAGGTTAATAACTGTGATATCAAATAAGTTTGGGAATGCTGCATACCATAGCTTTTCTTGGAAACTCACATTGTAAATTAGCATAGTAAGGGCTCTAAGAAATCCTATAAAAAAACAAACATACATCTTGCTGAGAATTTTCCAACTTTGAGAAAACAGTAATAGGCCTTTGTAGATGGTTCTGGTTTCATAAATATTTTATTACAATTGAATCTATGGGCCTATTTTTTGTGGCTAATGTATTTTCTTAGATTTTAAACTAAGACATTAAAAAAAGTATACTCATAAAATGGACAATAGATAGTGGTTTTCCTTATACTCTTCACTCAGAGAAAACCTCTCACATACATGCATAGATTCCCTCTGTGAAATGACCACTCGTTTGTCACCATGGCTAGAATGTACATATATAGTCATATACATTACTGAAGGTAAGTCAGAAGTGAGATCTTCCTGTATTTTTTTGTTTTGTATGAACAAAATACCTAATAAATAAATTCTAGTTTTCTCTGTTCCCATGATGTAAAAAGTAAGATTATTTATTTGTATATCTGTATATCACAGCTTGAAGAATGGTTTGAAGTGCCTAACAAACTAAAATCTCCCATAACACTCCGCCCACCTCAAAGTTCTATCCTGAAAACTACTAATAACACAAATTTCTTATAAAATGAGCACTTATCATTACTAAATGAATTTTAGACAACTGAAGAGAACACATAAAGTTATAATTTGAATTACTTAAATTTCAATTAAATGTTTTTAAACATAATGGAGCTAACATACCTGTCTTCATTTTTTTCCATTTTTATTTGGCTTTGATAGGCACATCTTTCTGTTTCTTCATGGGTATTCTGATAAGGCCATGCTGATTTTCCATTGACATAAAGTTTTGCAAGATCACTTCGGAGCTTTTCATTCTCATATTCCAGTTTGCTAATAGATGTATGCCTTGAATGTGCCCTGTTAGTGATGTCCATACTCTAGAGAATAAAATAAATTATCATTGAATAAATTGACTTTTGTAAGGGATGAGTATTTTCTGTGTGTTTGGATACATGTGATGGGAAGGCCCTTCTGTCTGAGCCAAGTGAAGTGGTTCTATTTTGCTTACATCTTGATCCTTCCCTTCCCTCTTCTTTCTCACAATATATAAAATAATGCATATAATAGTGCCCATTTCAATACAGAAAATGTTTACTCTTCTCTACCACAAACTAGTCAGATTAAGAAGTCTTTTGTAAGTGTTTAAAAGGTATACCTGTTCGTGTTGATTAATAATGGAAACACATTTCAATTTAAAAATGATTTTTCTGATTAAAATAATTCATGATTATAGAAAATAGGGAATATTAAGAACAAAATAAATGTTCCATACTACCACTACTCAGTGATAACTGCTATTAATATTCATTAGTTTTTTCTATCACTAACAAATGCAGTAAATGTGAATATAATTATATATTTATAAAATTATAATCAATATATAAATATTCATAAGAAATACAATATAGTCAACATCAAATATAAATAGGATATATATAAAATTATAAGTACAAAATTATAATGTAAAAATGCAATAAATTTTTGGAAACTTTTTCCTCCTGAACACTTGCATATACCTAAAAAATAAGATTTTAATAACTACATTGAAGAGGTGTAAGTAAATTTATTTAGTCATCCCAAAGTATAAATAACTTTGTGTTGATTTCCTTATACACAAATCTTGATCTATATTTCTTTAGGTAGATTCCAAGGACTGAGACTATAAGAATAAATTATAGAAATGTTTTTTGAAGCCCCAAAATTTTCCCCCCATAAATCTCATAATTTCCAGTCTCATAAAGTCCCACCAATAATGTATTAAAAAGCCCATTTTATCACTTATAATAACTTAATATTACTATTTTTGTTAAATTGTAATGTCATGAAATAGTAATTTATTAGTTGAGCATATTTTCATATTTTTTACAATTTTATTGTATCGATTATGTATTTGTATTCTTTGCTAATTTCTCTATTAGGGATAGTAATTCTTTAACATTTTCAACATTAGGGATAGTAATATTTTGGTTGAATGAAAGTATATTTTCATGTGATTTTAAGTTTTAATTTTAGTATATCTAGAATTGTTTTTGTTTTTTAAATTTATTTATTTAATATTTTTATTGGTGTATTTTAGATAGTTACATTCATCATTAGGATCTTGTACCTTTACATGATATGTCTTGGTACTTTTTTCCCCCCATTCCCAGAGACTCCCTTCCCCCCTCCATCCTTCCCTATTTACAAATACTTTGTTTCCATTTTTTTCTTTTCTCCTTTCTCTTCCCTTTTTACCTTTCCCCATCCCTCTCATTTGCCCAATACCTTTAGATCTTTTCTTCCTATTACAAAATATCAATTATGCATTTGACCCTTATTTACACTTTTAGTCTATCACACCAGAGAAATTATATGTTATTTACACGTGTGTCCTGTTAATTTCTCTTAAGAGTATGTCCTCAAAGTGCATCCATTTACCTATAAATATCTCTAATTTCTCATTATTTATGGCTGAGTAGTATTCCATTTTATTTAAAAAAAACACACTTTATCCAGTCTCAAGTTGATGGGCAATTGGGTTGTTTCCAAGTTTTACCTAGTACAAATTGTGCTACTATAAACATAGATGTGCATATATCACTGTGGTATGATTCTTTTAATTCTTTTGGGAAGACACCTGGCAGGGGAATAGCTGGGTCAAATGGGACTTCCAATCCTACTTGTTTAAGGTATCTCCATATTGATTTCCACAGTGGTTGCAGCAGTCTGCACTCCCACCAACAATGAAAAAGGGTTCCTTTCTCCCCACAGCCCTGCCAAAATTTGTTATTTGTTTATATCTGGATAGCAGCCATTCTTTCTGTGGTGAGGTGGGATCTCAGTGTTGTTTTCATCTGCATCTCTCGAATGACCAGTGATATTGAATATTTTTTCATATATTTATTTGCTGCTTTTACTTTTTTGAGAAATGTCTGTTCATTTCAGATGACCATTTTTGAATTGGACCTTTATATTTGGGGAGCTTGAAATATTTGAGTTCTTTATATATTCTAGATAGTAGATCTTTGTGTGAGGAGCAGATGGTAAAAAATTTTTCCCATATTGTAGGTTGTCTTTCAGCTTGATTGGTGGTTTCTCTTGCTGTGCTGAAGATTTTAAAAAAGATGAGATCCCAGTTGTTGATTCTTTGTGTTAGTTCCTGTGCTACTGAGGATTTGTTCATAAAGTCTTTTCCTATGCCAATGTCTTCAAGAGTTCTACCTAGCTTATCTTCCAACAAGTTTAGTGTTTCTGTGTTAACATTTAGATCTTCAATCCACTTCAATTTTAGTTTAGTTCACGGAGAAAGATAGAGATCCAGTTAATCTTTGGCCAGATGAAATCCAGTTTTTCCAACACTGTTCATTAAAGAAGCTATCTTTCCTCCAGTGATGATGGTTGGCTCCTTTGTCAAGGATGAGGTAGCTGAGCATGTCTGCTATTGTTTCTATATCTTCTATTCTATTCCACTGATCCTTGAGTCTGTTTCTTTGCCAGAACCATTCTGTTTTAACACAGTGGCTTTGTAGTATAGTTCAAGGTGGGGATTGTGATACTCCCTGCCATATATCTGTTGCCTAGAATTGCTTTTGATATTCTCTCTTCTGGTTCCAAATGAATTTTTGGATTGTTTTCTCTAGTTCTGTGAAATATACTGTTGGGATTTCATTGAACCTATATAGCAGTTTTGAAAGCATGACCATTTTCACTAAATTGGTTCTTCCTACCCAGGAATAAGAAATATCTTTCTCTTTTCTAATATCCTCTTCAGTCACTTTTTCAGAGTGTTAAGGTTCTCAATATAGAAAGGTCTTTTGCTGTCTTTGTTAGATTGATTCCTAGATATTTAATTTTTGGGGTGCTATTGTGAAAGGAACTGTTTCCCTAATTTCTCTCTCAATGAATTTGTTATTTGTGTACAAGAAGGCAATTGATTTTTGAGCTTTTACCTTGTACCCAGCTACTCTTAATGAATCTGTCGATTCAGTCTAGAAGTCTTTTGGTGGAGTTTTTTGGGTCTTCTAGGTAGAATATCATATTTTCAGCAAATAATGACAGTTTAACTTCATTTCCTATCTTTATTGCTTTTCTTTCTTTCTCTTGTCTAACTGCTGTTCCAAAACTATACTGAACAGGAGTGGTGATGGTGGACACCCTTGTCTTGTTCTTGATTTTCACATGAAGGTTTTCAGTTTTTGACAATTTAGTATAATGTTGGCTGTTAATTTTTCATGGACAGCCTTTACCAAGTTGAGATAAAGACCATCTTTTCCAGTTTTCTGTAGGGTTTTCATCATGAATTTGTGTTGAATTTTGTGAAATGCTTTTTCTACATCTATAGAGATTGTGCTTTTTGTCCTTCACTCTGTTAATGTAGTGTATTGCATTTATTGATTTACATATGTTGAACCATCCTTGCATCCCTGGGATAAATCCAACTTGGTCAGGGTGTATGATCTTTTTGATTACCCTCTATATTCTGTTTGCCAATATCTTATTGAGGATTTTTGTATCTATGTTCATTAGAGAGATTGGCCTGTAGTTCTTTTTTGTTGGATCTTTCCCTGGTTTTGGAATCAAAGTAACACTTGCTTCCAGGAATGAATTTGGAAGTACTGCTTCCCTTTCAATTACATTGAAAAGTTTAAAGAGTATTGGCAGTAATTCTTCTTTAAATTTTTTGTAGAATTCAGCAGTGAATCCAGCAGGACATGGCTTTTCTTTGTCTGTAAATTTTTAATTACATTTTCAATTTCACTGATTGTAACTGTGATGTTAAAATTTTTATATCTTCTTTCAACTCCGGTAATTCATATATATATCTAGAAATGTGTCCATTTCTTCTGTGTTTTCCATTTTATTGGAGTACAGGTTCTCAAAGTAGGTATTGATGAGCTCTGGATTTCTGCTGGATCTGTTAAGACTTCACTGTTTTCATTTCTAATTGCATAGATTTGAGCCTTTTCTTTCCGTTTTTTGATAAGCTTGGCTAAAGGTTTATCAGTTTTAAAATTTAAGTCTATCAATGTTGTTCTTTTGCTATTGCTTTGCTTTTCTGTACTTTCTTCTATTTGTCTTATAATTTTATTATATAAATTAAATTATTTATTTGGAATTTATTTTTGCTAGAATGAGAGATGAGAATAAAAATAATTTATTCTAATATCGAAATCACATATTGATTAAAACATCAATTCTCTGCTACTGGATGAGGCAACCAATTTTATACTAAATCCATATAGACTTATGTTTGATTCTGGACTACTCCATCCTAATGACCTTACAGTTGACACCGTGCCAGTATTACAGAGTTTGGAGCAATGTGGCTAGATAATAAAATTTTACTATCTGGTACTCAATTTTAATGCATCATCAGAATAGAAAATAAAATGTTTAAATCACAAAATGATAGATTTGGAGTAATAGATATTTCTGTGCATGTTTCAAATAAATGCTTTTAAGGAATTTCCTAGGAAGTTTTCAAAAGTTTTAAAAATATGCTATAATCTCACAATGAAAAATTATTTATATGGCTGTTTATAGTCCTCAGAGTCCAACGATTTGAATGTTTATTAGCTTCTGACTAAACAATAGTTGTCTGACTTCAGAAAGGTAATATTTTAGCATGAAAAGCACACCATGAGTGCAATATCATTTTGTTTTTTAAATTAAAAAATATTAGTAAATGTTTTTATACCTAATGATTACTTTCATCATGGAGAACTGGTACATGCAAATAATGCATTTCAATTCTTTTTTATTTCCTGTTTCCCTCCTCTAAAACAACTTTTTGTGAACCTCCAAATAGCTATGGTTCAAAATTCTTTACACTATAATTACTATATTGGAGCCTACTTGTGGAAGTTTCTAAATGAAAGGTTATTCATTTGATCTGCCA